TGTTTCTATTTTGGTTAAATTTGGATCGATTTCGTATTTGAATCCAGGCAGATCATTCACTCTCACCAGACACCTATTTAAGGGTGGCACGGAGCGGTATGAAAACTTATGAGTTTTCCAATTTCGATATTGGGAAGTCAATAAAAGTGTTGTGACTGTGTTGCCTTTTATACAGATTTGCTAAGGTGTTTAGCATACGCCTCTGAGATTAAGTGGCCAGGTCTCTTGAGCGAACTTTCCTGTCCGCATATTAGCCTCTTTCAGTCTGTTGCTGTATAAGTCCAGCATAACCCATCGTGCTGTATTCCGATCGGCCTATAAATTGTTATCATTCACCTTGAGATAGACAAAGGTAGGTAAACTTAGAGAAAATAAAGGTTCGAAAGTGCTTTAGGAATTTTCGTTTGAGCTTTAATGGAAACTACTTTTGATCCTAGGACTAACCCGTGAGCAACTAGCTGTCTTTTGGACTTTGTGGTACCAAGACTGGTAATTACATTAGCTAAGCCCTCACCATTCACAGAAGAGAGGTGGTATGTCGAGGTGCTCACTGGAATGATCACGTTTCCATTCAACTTAAAATTTGGCTGATCCGTATTTGAACCTGCGTAAGTTCTGATTTTTTAATAATCAATTTCATAGCTTATATGTCAAACACCAATTTCCATCTTCTCAACATGTCCAGTAGAATCAATAATAAGAAACATATCATCTTTATATTCTAGATGCCCATTTGAGGGCCCTCATTCTGTGTCGCTCCAGAAGCTGACCTTTAAAGTTTCATAGGCTTCTTCTTATAAGTTGGAATGCAATACTGTAAATTCTATTTAACTCCATTGCTGTCACCCTCTTCATAGAAAAGACCTCCATTGAGTCCTTCATGTGGTCCAACTTAAAATTCTTTGATTTGCCTTGCGCCTTTATCCATGTTTCAATGCAACGTAAGTTTACGCAGCCGTATCAAAATTAGAGGGAGAGTGGGCTCTTCAAAGGGCCTTCCTAGATGTAACTATGCTAATTACAGTTCCTCAATTACGATCAAATTCTTCTTGAAACGCTATTCAAACAGCAAGGATCGTCTGGTTTGTGGGCATTACAACGCAAAATACAATTTTTGAACATCCGAGTTTGATTGTCTTGCGAATAGTCCTAAGTTGAAATCTTACATTTGATTACTAATTTAAATAAATCCAATTGTTACACAAATTTGGGATATTAGGTGGCATCGGAATAGGCAAAATTGGGAAATAATTAGGAGGAGAGGGAGAGGGAGAGGGGGGGAGGGTGGGGCTGGAAATAGATGACAGAGTACTAAGAGCCTTAGGCTGGTCTCATCCAACGGTCAATGCTTATTTTGTAATCGGACCCAATTAGGCTAAAGGGCGCCTAATAGACAAAATAATCTTCTTTAGACTAAGAGTTAAGTAAGGCAACTTTTATCACGAACACAAAAAACTGAATGAGAAAGTGCATTATTAATGAGTAGGAGTAGCGTTGGAGATCTAAGAGGACGCGACAGTTCACAAGCTATGAGAGACAGTGGAAATGAGGTTTAATGCAGAATATAAAAATGTCCGCCTTTTACTCGAAGATAGGCCACATGCGATTACGATAGTGAATTCAGTTATTTTTAAATTGTTATTTCTCGTAATATCCATAATATTTCTATCCCGATCTTTTGAGTCACTGTGTGTGTCAATGTCCTTGACATTTTGAGCAATGAGGGGACAAATTAGACTATAATAGGCATTTCAAAATATGACAGCAGGTGAATAATCAACGTTTTATCGATGCTGAGATTTTTCAGGTGATGTATTCTTTGATGTCTTTGGAAGTAGGAGAAAGCTTAACATTCTCTACTTGCGTTGATCTCTTTGCTTTGATATGAGTGCGTGTCTATTTCTCTCTTAAACACCGTATCTGAGACGAGTGGATGTAGTATAAATTAGTATAAACTTAGTTATAAAGTTTTTGGGCACACATTTTACCAAATTTCAATTTCATGGACAAAGTTCCATTTTTCATACCCATGTAGCCTTTGCCTTAGCTTTACCCAAGACTGATCCACAATTTCTTCTTCGTGAGCCAATTATGACTTCCCAAATTTTGACAACATTTTATTTATTTATATCAAATGGGGGGGGGGAACAGAAGAGTGTTTCAAAGATGTAAAAGAGACAGACGAAAAGTTGGAAAAAAGGTGAGGTGAGTACGGTTGAAGTATTCGAATTTGACATACAGTGGGGTTATGGTAGTTTGAAGTCAGAAGTCAACTGCCGGTTAATAAACTCTTTTGCCGTATGAGTATACGTTGCCCAGGGTGCACCACGTGGAGGTAAGTCTATAGCACACCCCAATTTTGACAACATTAACGGGACAGATGTGATATCAAACAAAGCTTTTGTCCAACACGCACATTTATCTCGGTTCAATTAAACTCCTATTTCTATGTAATAAAACCGTTTAGCAAATGAAAGTTGGCGCAATTTTACCTTGAAATTGTACTAATATGCAAAGGTGGGATTTCGAAGATATTTGTAAGAAACTAAAATTGCTTCCGTATCGGGTTTAACTGTTAGACCAATGCGCTGAGTTGCTATTTGTGGTAATCAAAGTAACTCATCCTACGAGTCCATGGAAGTGAATTAGTAAATGAAATGTTAATTTGTTCATTATCTTCTTTTGTTTTTTTTCATCAAAATTAAACGATGATTCTTCAAGCCCACTCAATTATTGTACTAATGTATTAAAAGCTGAATGCGATAATATATTTGCTCAAAGGCTACTTGTATGTGTTTTAGAGTTGCAAATTTTGCAACACTTTGATCCTTCTTGGCTACAGTCATTCTGCATATTGACCACAAAAATTCATTTTTGGAAGACGTCTCGGAAACTATTTTTGGCAAATCCATTATTGAAAAATGTTTAATTCAAACTTATATTAATAATATGGGGTACCTGATAGGTTTGCCTCCACATGATGCACCTTAGGCAACGTATACTGGAATATCAACAAAGCCCATAAACCGGCAGTTGACTTCTGACCTGAACCTACCACGACTCCACTGTATGTCAATTCCCACCACTTACACAGTACTCACCTTACATTTTTCACTAGCCTTGGGTTTGTCTCTTTTTCATCTGTGGATCACTCGTCTGTTCCCCCTCTCAACTACTTTGCGGCTTCGATGTTCCTTCCCTCTGTGAAGCCGAAGTCAACTAAAAGGCTAATGATGACTATTATAAAGCCTGCCATTTGAGATAAATAAAGAAATAATATGACCATCAGTAAATAGAGATGGGTTAAATTATCCAGACAAATGGATGCATACACATGGATCTTGGAACTTTGCCGATTTTTCCACTAATTACTTTATGCTCTTTGAAATAGAAATTGATAATTTATACATCTTTTATTGCAACATCATAGGCAAACCAAACTTCCTTGGGTTTTGATCAACTGAACTTAGCCACGAATTTGTGCAAGATCTCTTTCCAACTTTCCAAGAATCTCTAGGATAAGAAACTCCGTAAGACCTCATAGCGACTCAAATCCGATTTGCTCTTCTTCGTAGTGGACTAACTAGTAAAGGACGTTTACACATACAGGATGTATAGGCATGCCCATTAAAGTAATTTGACAGTCAAAAGGTTTTAAAAAGGACATGTAGAAAAGGGGTCAGTGGTTAATACTTTGTAGTTGATTCCTTGATTCCTTTGCATTTAGGAGGGGGAAGGGGGGGGGGACACTAGAGATCGTGCTTATTATTTTCCCATATATAACTGCTAAATTCGAATGTCTCTTCCATTACCTGGTTCAGAAAAATGGATTCATTCACTTTCATCTGGATCGACTCAAGTCCCACCTGCATAAGTCAATCATTTCAATTCATTTCATTGTGTTTAAATTACTCAGTTGATTTTGATAAATATCTGAAAGATATGAACAAATTTTGAATTATATTGTTACCACTCATCATTTTAGTGCACTTTAAATCTGCGGGGTAAGTTCTATAATTTGTGAATTAAGGTCATCTTGTTGCAAATCTTCTGCAACCTAAATGCCAAATATTAGAGCTGTTAATTAACAAATTGCTTTATGGGCAGTCAGATTGAAACTGAAATTTACAGACTCACATTTGAGGTTTTAGTTGCGCATCAGTATTGTTGTGGCCCTGTGGAATTCGCTTTCATTTAGCGGGTTCGTTTAGTTGAAGTAGGATTCATTTTAACGCGTCAGGAAGAAGCAATAAAACATGAACAACTTGACCACTCTTCAACACTTACTCAACCGAACGAATTAAATAATGGAAGCTGCAAAATATACGCACGATTGAGACACTGAAATGTGCCAAGGGTTATCGCCAAGTCACAATTCAATGTATTTAAATTTCAAGGTTATCTTCATTTGACGTAACCTCTATTAATAACTAAATTTGAATCTTAATGTTAACTCTGTGACCCAATGCAAGATTTAAAAGAACAATAAAATTGAGGTAAATCGAATACGGAATTCAGGGTTAGATTGAAAGGCAATGAATGTTCAATTTAGTAATTTAGTTTTTTTCATTCAATTTTTCCAGTATCCAAAAGCAGGAGGATATGGTATGGACAGAGCCAATCAGTTTCGGCCGCATTCAACTGAATGGGACTTTCAAATACCCTGTTGGAAATCTTAGTTTTCACCCTTTTAATAATAATTTATCGAGTATTCCCAAAATGCCTAGCTTCCTTTATGGTTACTGGAATCGAATCCAAACTACGTTTTAAATGTTAACCTTAGTATACAAAACATATGGGAAGTACATAATAATTAAACGCGAATTATAACGGAAAGATTCAATTGGCTAATAATATAAACCAATCAGTGATCACTGCCGGTTAGTATTTAAACGCCTAGTGTCGTAAGGTAAAGGATAATTGCTTAGGTATTCCTTTTAGTATCTAAGCCAATAATTGGTAACAGTGCTAAAAAGAGAGGCTGTCTGTCCAATTTACCGATGAATGAGGCGCTTGATCTAAGCGTCAATTCTGCTCCACTGATTACGGCTAGTGTACCCTCGGGACATGCTACTCAGTTGCCATTATCGTCTGGTGCGAGTTCCATACACTCCCCGCCAGCTGTCAACACACTAAACTTCTTACCCTTTGAAGCGGATTTTCTTCAAGGATTTTCACAAAATTTTCCTTCCTTTCCAACCGTTTATCCGCCAAGTAATGCTCCATCTCAAAATTCCCAACTTCTTCAAACTCCTCCTACAAGTAAGTACGGGTTTTCTAATAAATTATCGAGCATTAATCATTTCTTCTTTGTGTTGATTCTACATGTTGTAGGTATGACTTAGGATTTAGAGAGTGGGAGAGAAAAAGTTGGGACTGATGGGGGGGGGGGCGTGTAGTCTGGTTTTGAGTGTGAACGCCTTTTGATAAATCTATCACTCACAAAATAAGGCTTACAAACTTTCCCATATGCCAGAAATGTGCGGGTCCTGCAGTTTGCGCCCATGGAGGGAGAGCGTGCGGTTGAGCATAGTAATGGGGAGTCTCTGGAGGAGTGGAAGGGGTGAGGGGGGAGGGTGGAGGAACTCTCTGGGACTATTCAACATGTCTGATCACATCTGGCTTATCTGCTCGAATTTGGAGGGGGGTGAACCAATTGCTTTAGAAAATTGTGCGTAAATTTTATAAAAAAATGGGGGAGGGTGGTTTGAACACGTAAACAGACACAAACGTGGCTGAAATTTCAACGGAATTGTTGTCTGAAGTGTGTCCGATTTTTGGAGCTATCGTGTCCGCTGTGTTATCGTTTTGTTCTTGCATTTTTTGTGTTAATAGGTCAGGTTTCCTTGTTACTTTCAACCACACAAAAAACACTGTCCTAATGCCCTCTACAAGTCTCAGATTACATTTGGAATTAAAAGGAACTCCAAAGTGCTTATCCGAAAATGAAAATAAGCCAATATGCTAAATAAGATGACTCGAAATATAATTATATATTTGCATTTCCTATTTCCTTCCCCTCGATTAGTCATATAAAAATTAGGTATGATGATAGTCGTTGTTAGGGTAAATAACGCTGAATATCAGTTACCAACGTCCATGTTTTGAGTGGAAGTGCGACCTTGATTAGCACAGAATCCCGTACCCTTCTCTCTCCACTTACACGTGATTCCAGTATCTTGGAATAATTACTTAGTGGGGATTCTGCACCCAAGTAAGATGGTTTGACCGGAAGTGACATGGCATTGATTCGCAGCAGACCTTTGCAGACTTCCGGACAGAAAAGAAATTAGGCGGGGAAGCCATAGGGTCTAATAACCTTGAGTAATTTCACGTTGGCGTGAATGAAAGAAAAGAAAACTTGTGTGTTACCGATTAACAGATTTGACGATTCTATTTTTAACAGGAGAAAGCGGCCGTCACAGCCACCTAGTCAACTGACTCACTCTATGAATTTTGAAATTAATTCTTCACCAAAGCGGGCGCAATATTTTAGGTGGGGGAGGGGGGAGGGGTGAGGTTGAGGGGAGGGTGGTGGTAGAGTGAAATGGGGGCTGATAGGTACTACTGTGAAGGTGTTGACAGGGCTGCAACTGTTTATGGACACTCTTGCAGTATATATTCCGGTAGTGTTTATTACTTCCGGTCCCCTTTATAATATACACCACTTCGGACAATTGTTGGTTCATACTCACTTGCCTAAAATCCGGCCATTTCTCATTACTCTACCAGTCTTCCATTCCCACTATCTTATAGCTCAAAAAGACCTCACTAGCCAATATGTCAACCTCGTAATTCATTCCACGTTGCTATCATCGCATCGATATCCATATTCTTGTGATTTATTTGTCTCAATCTTAATTAGGCCGAGCAAAAATCTTTCTCTTGAAGCACCTTTCATATATAGGGTCAATGCCTTCACGTTAGTAAAACAAAATCATGTGAAACTAGTAATTGTGCAGGACATAAAGGAGCAAAACCGTGAAAAGGCCTTCTATCAAACCACTTGTTTTATTCTTTTTTGGGTTCAAACTGCGGGTCCGCAAATTGATTGTTGTGGTGGAATAAACAGGAAGTCGAAGATGTTTTATCCGTCTCCAATGGAAAGAAGCTTTGTCCGAAAAAAGGGACTTGGCTATTAAATCAAAAGCCCACAGAATAATCTCTACTGTGTTCAACTGTGAAAGAATTAGGGGTTGTTGTCTAATGAGGAGTAAGAGTAGTCATGGCCCTCTTCTTGCTTCACTAATTTTCCGCCCTTGATTTGCGAGAAATTGTGAGTGAGATGGAAAGGTGGAAACAAATCTAAGTTTTCATCATTTTACACCGCAATGGGCACTGTCAGTCAGTCAGTCAGCCAGTTAAATTGGGGCGTATTCTCTCTGCCTAGTCAGCCGGAGACTATTTAGAGAGGGAGACACTGCCTTTTTTAAGTTGACATTAAATACAACAATCGGCTTGCGACCGTTCACGCCTAGTACCAGGCAGGTAGTGGGAGCTTTGTTTCTACATTAATAAGAGAAATCGAGGGTGGGAGAGGGTAAGAAGGAGCAGAGGGAGGGAGGGAGGGAGGGAGGGAGAGAGGTGTTGAGCTCGTAAATTATTTACCGAAAATCTGACAATTATACTTCCTAATCATTCACATACAAACTCTATTCTCTTTAGCAGCCGTCACTATGGTAATTGGGTTGGGGCTATTGAGCAGGGAATTGCGTGCAGCAAGGAATAAGAAGAAAGGGGGGTAGTGGTGGTGTTAATGGAAGGAAGCCAATAAACTTCTTAAAAACGTGTGTCTCTGAATTATACATTTACGTCAAACATATCTGAGTACTGCTCACCTGCATTCGTTTAGGCGTCGCTGGGCAATAGGAAGATTAAGTGTAAATGTGGGGGGTAAGAAAGAATGAAACCAGCGCGATTGTTGTCGCACTAATATTATCAACATCATCGCACGCAAAATTTGATTTGAATGAAACACGCAAAGTGAGGAGAGAATAGACACTCTCTCCTCTCATTTATTTTAGACATATTTTATTTTCTATAGTACAAGTAGGAAATGATGCGTTATTAAAATTCGCGCCTCTAATGGTACCCACATCACTTACGCAAGTGGCTAATGGTGTGACATCCAAAGAGACCCCTTCGAATGCAATCGATCTTTCCCTACAGACAATCCTCCAAACACCCCATCATCCACCAGTTCATGAAAATTTCATGAATCTTGCTAGCAACCTCTCTCAAAGTCAAACGCTCATCAATCAAAATGCGTCTCCTAGGAGTAATACTAATAGTGAGTCCTTACGTTTGATTTTGGTCAGTTGCTCTTTGGATCTCAATGGGGTGATACGAGCGACCACAAACCGGGGCCACTAATTGAGAAAATTAATTTTTCGAAGTAATCCGTCGTTTTAAGACTGGGTTGCAGCTAAATTTGCAATTTAAGGCACCGAGGAGAAATGGTTGAAAACGGGTGTTATTCGGACAAGTTCAGTCGTGCTGGCACCCGGAGTTAAGTTTTTAGTCATTTATTAACACAAAATGGACGGGTTTAATTATGTGCGCGCATAAGTGGACATCCACCACCACAACGGCTACTACTGTGTATTCGGCACCATAAGTTCTACATATAAACACTGTCATCTCTTAACACTGGTAAAATTTATTTTATGTGAAAATGCAAAGTCTTGGCAAAGTGTTGATTAATGCTTGCATCAGCACCTAAACTAACCATGAACTTGTGATTATCAATTATCACCCAATCCTAATTGTCTCTATCTCTCTCTCTTTCTCTGTGTGTGTGGTGTTTAATTTATTCCCTACTGTGGCAGACATAAACGCACGCCTTGATACATCTCCTGAATGGATAGTTAATGACTTAGTTGTGGCCATCGACTCCAAAACGAATGCCACTTTTTATGATCATACTACTTCATTGAGTGGACTTCATTTCTCGGACATATTTGGGCAAAGCTCCATCTGACTCATACCAAACAATTTGTGTGAGTGGACATTGTTTTCGACATTAATTTTCATTAACATTTCCTGTTCTCTCAACCCCTTCCAGTTCGATCCTCCCCCCCCCCCACATCAGTTTGCAGGGGACGCTTTAAGGATTGGGTGGCTCTATTAAGTTAATATTGTTTGCATAATCATGACTTCTCGTTCACTGCATTATTTCATTGAAGCCAGAGGTAGGACACCGTTTTCACATCCCGAATTCGAATAAGTACTCAAATAAAAGTGCTCCCTGGATAAGGTAAAGAAGTAGAAGAAAAAGAAGATAAACTGTGCATCTAAGTAGAGTTAGGTGGAAGTAGATGTACTTGTTAAAAAGGTGTGAGCAAAACTTGCCCTCTTTGTAACTGTGGTAGTTTGCCCGATACTCTTGTATTAACTTATTTTCATCTGCGCATTTTATGTTAATTTGAATACCTTTGTAAATGACTTTTCTGTCTTTACTTTATTATTAATAAGATAATTTTTTAGTAATTATAGCTTTTGAATTCATTTATTTACGAAATGCTCTGTTGGTGTGAGGTGTTTGTGAGTTGACACGATTCTGACCTATTTTATAGAGCAGATAGCTGTTATTTTGAGTGAAGATAAGACTAAACTGAATCTTATTAGAATCAATCATCATTCCACGTTATTATCAACGTTATCTGTTAAGCTTGCCATTTGAGTGGTGAAAGGATAGTTTTGAGATAACACATTTCTAATGACATGACAAGGGAAATTTCAGGGGAATCGAAGAATATCCCTTAAAACGGTTTCGTCGTGGATTTTCCTGAAAAGTCAATTCAGTCATCTTGAACTGAAACCTCTTTCCAGCCAACAGGTACCACTAAGATCTAGAATGGAAGTTTTACATGTGACAGGTAAGACGACTGAAAGGACTTTGATAATGTCGAATTGATAAAGCATAAGAACTTCACTATTCTAGTCAGAATATGTTAAATATGGCTATATTTAATTTCACTGATAGTATGCGGATGTTTAAAAGAAAGAAACATTGATTTCATTCCCAAAAATTTTAAATTTCAGAAATTTTAAACGTCTGACATCTGAATATTTTTCAAATTGATAATCACCAAAAGAAGTGGCCAAAACCGTAAAAAATGCACTTTATCCTCAATATTGAGAAATGAAAGGAGTAAAACGAAAATCTGTTTAACCAAAATCGAGCTACATGAACTGATATGTATACCCAATGTGGCAGTTTCCCCATTTTCTCAACCTCTTCTGGTCCCCTCTCTCCAATGTCTCCCTCTCGAAGTGTCTTTTGTTGTTCCTCCACTGACTTCTTGTTCTCTGCTACTTCTATTTCTAAAGTTACCAGGGTATAAAGGAGTCCAATATCACTGAAGAAGCATTTTGAATGTTCGATTTGTGAATATTTTCCCTGTGCTCTCAGTCTTCGAATTCACAACTATCTGCGTCTCTTCTCTTCTTGGTGGCTGTGTTTCCGCATCGCAGTTAACAAGTTGAATGGTTGGCGGGCTTAAAAATTATTAAAATAACATTGAAAGTTAAAAAAATCATCTTTTCTTCGTGGTGAAGTAAAACTCAAATGGGAGGAAGTCAACTTTTAAATGGCTTGACTTATTTGTTTCTGTGCATATATTCATGGCTATCTGGAATTGAGTATATCTTGTAAATCCCAGAAATTCTCGATAAGTTGATTGTTCTTGTTGTTATACAAATAGGTTACCAGTCGTCGGATTATTTACCTTTGCTTGAGCAAGCTTCACGAGTTTCTGCAGCACAGGGGGGCAAGGAGTTGCTGCGGAAGTTCACTTCCTTCCAAGAATGCGGCCACGCTCAATGCAGAGCCGCCGGACTTAAAGAGCACTTCCACTGCAACGACTGCCACAAGGTAACACCTTGACAATGATACTACATCTAATTATTTGGAATTGCTTAACCAAGCTAATTATTAACTCTGAATGTGTGAATGAAGCCTATTAGATGATTGAAATGCAATGCGCTCTTTTATCCCTGCTAACTCACGCTCCTAGGCACGTATATTTAGGCTTTCAATGTGGTTTACATGACATGCTACTTAACAAGTAAGTCATTTTACTTAGCATAGCGGAGAAATACTGCATTTTTTAATTCGGTCTATCTTAGTCTACCTTGCTATCATGGATGACAGAAATGGTAAATGGCTCCCGGAGGAGTTCAAAGTATGCGTATGTATGTACGATGAATATTAAATGCCTGCAATGCGTAAGGTACTATTTGTGTTCTTTTCACTTTCCTCTCAATGACAATACGTCACCAAGTACAGTTAAAGGGTCACATTTCGATAGTCCGATGAGAAGTAAGTATTGGTCTACAGTTCCATTTTGTGTTATCAGAATAAGTCTGCCATTTGCATTCAGTACACTACTTCCCAAGGATGCACAGGTAGAAATATATTTCCTTTGCGTTATTTTCGCCTTTACAGAAAAAGGACATTTTCTAGTTTGTAATTAGATGACCTGTCCTTGATCGTTAATAGGAGAAGCCTAAGATCACAAGATTTTGCGAGGAGATAACGGCAACGACAGTTGTTGCTCTCCCTAATACCTTGTTGACCTCTGTGCGTAGAAAGGCAGATAAAAGTGCCTTAAATAACCTTGTGTGGTTATTTTCTTTTGCAAATGTCGTTTTTGCCTGTCTATTTATTTGAATTTTGAATATATATATATTTATATATATATATTCGAATGTTTGTATGAATGTCTAATAGTGATTTAAGTGACACCTAATTTGAGCATGAATACTCTTAATTTTTCAGGTTATTAACAGACGTGAGGAGACTATACGTCACGCGAAATGGCACAGAAAACGAGCCGAAAGTCTGCAGTATGGCTTCATGCGGTACAGTTCTTGCGACAACTGCGGATATCCGAATTGCAGCCACAATTTGAAACAAACCCATTACCACTGCATTCGAACCAATTGCAATAAGGTTTGCCTTAAAGTTACATGTATTCTATGAACCATATGTGAGTAGAAAAGGTCATAAGCAGGTCTATGAGGTCCTGCCGTTAGAAAGCTAAGAACGGGAGGATTCACAAGCTCTTTTTAAGAAAATGCTGGAAATGATTATCACCACTCCAATATTTGTTTACTCATTTTAGGAAAGGTAAAAGTTTTCGAATGAATTTAAACGATGTACGAACTTCGCTGGCACCACAAAGAAATGTGGCGTCCAGTGTTCACGTAAATGCAAAAACAGCGTTTCGGTCCAATATAATTACACTTATTTTGGTCTTAAAAGTGCGCTTCCTGAGTTTATGTTAAGTCTGTGTAAAAACCCACCAAGGAGAGGCTTTTATGTGGTAAATACGTGACATTTTCTAATCACGCTTTTGCCAAATTATTTTCATTAAATGAGGTGTTGTCATAGCAACTTTCCGACATAATAATTAGTATCATCAGTATGAGAAGTAACTATATTAATCTACACATTGTGTCAACGAAACTAAGTTAATGATGAATCAAGGGGAAATTTGGTTTAACTCTGCTTCTGACAACTATTAACAGATTCACACGATTTAGCAGACAAATTTGTTTAAACGAACACTTACGCTGCCGCGCATAATATTTTGAAGGCAATTATAGGCAAGTAACGCGTAGTATAAATGGGCACTTATTGGAGTTTAGATTAGATTAATGGGATAGGATTAGCAAAAAGAGTATTATTAGTGACAACTGCTTAGACGAATTAGATTTTGGAAATAGATAACTTCAGGAACATCCCAACTTCTTCTAGCATTTCCCTAAGTTTAAAATAACTGTGCTCTACTTAACTAGAAATAAATAATTTAAGGGTACCCTACTTATCTATTTCAAAATAAATTTCAATGGTTTTTCGTTCAAGAAACTTGAATGTTGAAGCTCCGATTCCGATTTGACTGAAATGTGGTTATAGCAATTCCAGCTATCTTAAAGTAGTTCCAATTTCAAGAAAGACCCAGCTGGACTATCTTGCAAAATCTAATAAACGACCATAATTTATGGCGAGTGCAAAGTAAAGGAAATGCATATGCCAATTTTAAAAGTATTCTAAGTCGAGTACCTTCGGTAAGTTGGAAAGTCCAATAATTGCACTACCGTCTCATTAACTTAACATAACTGTAGAGTCAAATTTACCAGTTTGAGTGGAAATGCAATGTGCGTTTTGCACAGTTATCCACAGCAGATTCTATGGGCCAGTATTTTCGTAATTGTTCGCTAATGGTAGAGCTTCACCGGGAGTAAGCGATAGCAAAACATCAGTTTTCAGCAGTTGCCAGTCCTGATTTCTTTTCCCTAGTAGTAGCACAATTTTAACTTATTTGTTGTTGAAAATGGAGGTCCTGGAACCAGTGACTTTTCGTTTATATCCAGTGAGTGAAACGTCCAACCGCAGTGATTAAGAAACTGTCAAATTTGAGTTTTATTCGAGGGGCTCACCGATGTCATTCCTTAACTTAAGGTGCTAGTTGAAAAACGAAAGAAATAGTTTTTGCTATGGAAAATGTTTAGCTTGCTACAGAGTATCAATTTTCCCTAATTTTATTTTTCCCCTTAGAAAATAGAATTTTGACTGAAGTTGCTTTCTTTAATTGCAGACTTACATCAGCACCTCCGACGTGCAGATGCATGCAAATTTCCACAGGAAAGATGCTGTGATAATGCAGGAGGGTTTTAGACGATTCAGGGCAGCAGAAGACTGTGGCAGCCAAGATTGCCCTTTCTCAAAGGAGCGAACAACTCACTTCCATTGCCAACGTGGGGGATGTAAATTCACCTTCAAAAACAAAGCTGATATGGGTACTGGATAGTATTTGACTAAACTCGGGTGATACCTTAGAAAGCAAAACTAATGCCCTGTTCTTTCTAGAGAAACACAAAAATCACCACCTGAAGAACGATACAATCGCCAAAGATGGATTTAGGAAGTTCACAAAGTCGGAAACCTGCAGCTTTGTTAATTGCAAATACTCAGGACAAGTCAATCATATTCATTGCATTCGCCAAGGTAAAATTTTGGCATAATGAAATGCTCATACAACATTATCCATTATTTGGTGGTTTATATGAAGAGCTTTTTCATTAGGCTGCGATTATGTGGTGCATTCGACGAGTCAAATCTCTTCCCACAAGCGGAAGCATGAAAGGAGAGATTCACTTAACTATCCCTGTACAATGGCTCCCCAAACCCAACTAGTTCTTCCACAGTTAAATTGTGAGAGCAACAATGGAGATACAACTGTGGCTCCAAATACAACAACTGCTACTACTTCGGCAACGACAACTCCAAAACCTTCTCCACCCCAGTCAATTTCTCCTTCTTCAGATCCACAGAGTCTAAGCTCTACTACCAAGCTACTGCAACGAGTATCAAAAATCAGTGATATATGCTGGCAGATGTCCCAGGAAGAAGACAGTAATCTTACTCTATCCAACGACTCTGTAGATATCGAATTGGCGAAACAAGTATTTGAAGACGTTAATCACTCCCTGAAAGCCTTTAAAGATAAATCATCTTGTGACGATGCCCAATGTTCTTTCCATTCGACAGGAATAGACCATTTCCATTGTTTTCGAACAGGTTGTATGGATACGTTAGAAATGGATCCGGAAGATAAGTTCACAACATTGGGTGACTTCGAAACCATCTCCAGTGGAGATATGGACTCTTGGAGAGATCATTGGAATCTTCATGCTTGGCAGTCGATTGCCAGTATTACGGGATTCTCACGATGTTGCGGAGAAATCTGTAATTCAAATAGCGAATCGAAAGCTCATTTGCATTGCTTCCTATGGCCATCTTGTAATTTTTCTATTGATATCAACTTGGTGGATCCACCCAGACTACTTCGGCATCTCACTAAACATAATCCACACTTCGGGACAATGATGTATCAGATGAAAGAACAAACAAGCTGCTTATCATCTGAATTAGGAGGCTCAATAAGTCAGAGGAAAAGGGGTAGACCACCGAAGCACTCTCGTGATATCCATATTCCACGACTGAAAATTCATCCTGAAAGGTGTCAGGATGATAATCCGTCAATTCCTCTTGGCATAGAGGATTTCCTCTCCAAACCAGACATGATTGTCGGTGGTCTTAAATTCTTCCCAGTTGGAGGCGGAGTAGCCTGTGTAGATCGTTGTTGTCCCTACTTCATTAATAAGCAAGATCATTTCCATTGCATCCGCCCACGATGTTATCTGGCCACTTCAGATCTTGCGTACGCTAATTCCCACAGACGCGAGTTCCATCCATACACACCAATTGAACTCGGATATGAGCACTTCGATCGGTCTATTGACTGTCGACGCCCTGCTTGCTATGCGAAACGTGACTCCGCTCATTATCATTGTCTTCGGCCAAGATGTGGTTATTCATTTGTGCGTGTGAGTAAGATGAAACAGCATACAGAATTGCATGAAGGTGGTTTGAATGGTAGTGTAAGTGGAGCTAATGCACTCGAAAAGTGCGAGGAAGTCCTCGGCAGTATTACTCAATCTGCAGGATCAATATTACCACCTCTTGGTCTGGAGAAGAATGCTACTTCTTTTAATGATATTATGCCCTTTCTGATGCGAATTCTTCTGACAGACCAAACGTCTCCTCTTAGTAATGCCATCAACCTTCTAAATCCTGAAAATATGGAGCCAGGTGAGGAGAAAATGGATTGGAATGAAATTCATGAAAAGATGGAAGCGACAAGTGTATTCCAATCACCTAATATGCTACCAATCTCCATGGAGAAGAGTGAACATGGTTCACGAAAAGCTGAATCAAATGAAGACAATGCATAGTTAGACAAGTGATCGCCGTTCGGTATCTAATTATATTGTCTCAACAAGAATAGACGGAATATATATATCGCTCTTTGACATAATGTAGAGGCCTGTTTGAAATTGCATTGTAAATTGTATCTTACAGTCTTAGGATGTGATATTTATGTTTTTTGGTGTAAAATATGTATAAGTAAATGAGTTTTAGTATGAATGTCTTTTGGATTTCTATTGAAGTATTGGGGCATTTGAAGTGATTTTATTAATCGTAACACGTGAAAAGCAAAATAACAGGAGTCTAGTAGAGGATAAAATGAAGTCCGTAGTCTGACAAGTTTCTCTACTTTATATTCCGGGAGTACTGAGTTTGAGTTTCATTTTGTTACTGAAAAATAATAAGTAGGTCATATGCGAAAATTGATTTTGAAATGATTCGGTTTGATTTACGTTTGGGAAAAATCGGCTCACCTAATAAGGGCCATGATAAAGACAATCCCATACTCTAATGACATAAGAAGGCACTTTTTACTTAAATTTATTCATCTTTAGCATTTATATCTTATACATCTTTAGCCCCTACTTTAGATTCACCTTTCATAGAAGCATTTTCTTTACGCTGTTCAGGGAGTATCTGAATTCGCTAATTTGAAGTTTAGCCTGAAGTTTTACCGGCAAAGCCGTTGTATTTCTCCCTTATGGATAGAACTGATTCGAGTACTTCTGTTATAGAAAGCGTTAATTTGGACCAATAAGCTGGCAGCTGAATTAGACAAAACGAAATATGAAGTAAAGCTAACCATGTATATGTTGCTTGAGCAGCTCTCCTGATTTCTGTAGGAAAAAAATGGAAAGATTTCTCTGAAACAATGCTAAACAAATAATTTGAACTAGAAAAATGGCTTAGTCTGCACTGTAAATGGACATTTAATTGAATTAACACAGTGCAGAGTGTGGATATGAAGAAAAATGGCCTTTTCTATTTATCCCGACACATTATCAACACGCTCCACTGCTAACTGGAGCATCAGCGTAACCAACATAAATGCCTTATTGGATTTCGAATGTAATAAAATGTAAATAATTATCCATCTGTGCTGAGATTAGTCAATAAGTACAAAATTAATAAAATCGTAAAAAACAAGATTCGTGAACACTGAGTGGAGCCATTGATCACAATCTGAGCCTACAATAATTTGACTCTGAAGAGGGGAAGTGGAGAAAGAAAACACAATTCTGAACGAGCACCAAAAGCTAGATGTAAGTAAACCAGTTCGTTTATTGATTTATTTTAGCCAACAACGGACATTAAATGTACTTCCTAAATAAAATGTAGGCAGATGAACAAAGGGGATGACTGCTGAAAACAATCTGAATGCCTTAGAGGTGATAAATCAGTTTTTTGAACCGATAAATTTGCAAGAAAGTTACAGTGTGGATGGATTATTTTCACTATAAATAAACTGACCGGATGTAACGTATAGCTTCTCGTTTACTCACCTAATGATCGTCTAAGTGACCATCAGGATACAGGAGTGTTTCCAAAAAAAAAATTGCTTGACAAGAATTGAATTTAGCCACCTGCGGGCGTATCGTCGAGGGGGGAGGGGGGGGGGAGGAAGAGAGAGGAAGAAAGTAGATAATAGGCAGTGAAAATTTTGATAAAGTAGTGTTTCGAGAAAGGTCTAGAGCCGGCTTACTGGATAGGTTTAATTTGATTTGCATTAATTAATACAATAATGAAATCAAAAAGAAACCAGAATTACCGTGGGCTTAGTAAAAGTTTGGCCAGTTTATTACTTTTAGGCATATCCACTGAATATCGAGGCTGTTTGTCATACTCATTTCAATAATTTGTAGGCAGTGTTAAACTTGAAGTATTTACATTTAAGCAGAACTACTTAATGCCACTTTAGTCACTTTGTTCTCCATTACTCTGATTGTCCATTTTAGTTAGTCTAAGCAAATGCTTTCGTTTAAATTGGCTAAATTAAATAAGGTTTTATTTTAGTGAGTAAATTTTATTCAATCATTTTCATCTAGAAAGTGTTCCATTTGAACTCGATCAACTTCAGCTTAACTTCTAGGAAATCTGAAGGCCTCAGGCGGAAATCGTCTGATTCAGTTCATACAACTTTATATTGAGTTAAATGGGGTGCGCGATAGACTTACCTCTACGTGGTGCACCCTGGACAACGTTTACTCATACGGCAAAAAAAGTCCATAAACCGACAGTTGACTTCTGACTTCAAACTACAATGACTCCACTGTTTATCATATTCTACCACTTTCATAGCACTCATCTTACCATTTCTCTGCCTTTGTGTCTCTTTCTCTTTTACATCTTTGAAACACTCTTCTGTTCCCCCTCCCCCTCTCGAACTTTTACATCTTTGAAACACTCTTCTGTTCCCCACCCCTCGACTTTTTATGCCTCCCCTCTGTGAAGCCCGAAGTCAGCTAAAGGGCTAATAATAGCTATCAAAACGTCTGCCATTTGAAAAAAATAAATATTAATTTAAACACTACGTCTCAGAGAGACAACCTGAAGATATTTGAGCACGGGTATGTCAATTATACACAACTCGTATTGTCCCAAAATTGGCTTCCCATCTAGTTCGACACCAATAACTCGAATAGCACAAGGAGAAGCGAAAGTGGAGGAAACTTTCCATATTTCGCTCTTGGAAAAAAGCATACCTATTTATTAAAGACACTTTTGATTCGAGATTTGTGATTTACTTTGAATACTTCACCAAATATCAGTTTCCGATGACAAAGATTTAATGTTACTACAATGTTCAGTTAATATATGTGCGGGCAAACTTCAAAAAATTGACATATATTTAGTAAAAAAACATTTCACATTAAATATTAATCAGGCACTTGCGTACAAAGGTTGGGGATAATATTCTGATATGATTTCCTAACCAGCCTTCATGTCAGTTGTAAGATTTGAGGCCCTCATTGATCTAGTCAGTGGACATTCGCAACGAGTTGGCAACTTCACACTTCATTGTTTTCGCCTGAAGTCGCTTGAGAGAAGGATTCATGGAGGGAGATAATAGAAGGCAGCCGACAACGTTTTCAAATCCCCACCTGTTAGTTACATCATATTCTTTCTAGTTAATATTAATTGTCGTGCAATTACCTTATTTTACCCATTATTTCAGGATCAGACTGCATAGAAAAAAAAATACGTAATGCAACTGCGTGTAAACGTGCATATTGTTATCAAGGTTCCCTAATATGTTGGCAGAGGCGCAGTTTTTACTTGTGCTGAGAACGAATCAGAAAGGAGGAAAACCATATATAGATATATACACGTGTGCGAGTTCATGTAATCATAAGAGCACTGAGTCGTGAGTCTTCAGCATATTTGACAGTTCAGTTTTTTTGCAGCATTGACACTGTAAGTCACTATAAATAAATCAATTAATAAATTGATTGCTCTTAAAGGATTTATTATATATTTTTTTATGAATATTTCAATTTATGTTATTTCTTCTCCATTAATTACATAACTTAGAGCATAGATTGCGATGTGGTCTTTAAGTCATTCATATTATTTTTTAATATTAAATTAAGAAATAGGGTGGCTTTAAAACAGAATACCGTAGATTATCTTATGGGGAATTTCGTTTACTCACGCAACGGTTGAAACTCGTAAGCAAAGTAATCAGAAACTCATTAATGAATTTGTCAATTATCTCAGCATATTATTTTTTATTATAACCTCCACACTTTATACATTTTTTAAAAAACGGGAAAGAAACTTTTCGGCTTCAGATTTTCTGCAGCTTAATTAATGAGCAGTTCCACAATCATTAGTAATAACCCAGGTTACTGGCCAATTGCTGTCCAGCGTTTATTGTCCAATTGTATGACAATAATGACCTAAAATAACATCCTCATTCAAAGGTTGTTTGGACATAACGTTTTTGTGGTATTGACGGGATACAGCTGAGTTTGCTCTGGTTGAGTCGAGGAGAGTTTTATGAATACTTATTAGATTCGAATCAGAACCTGATTAGTGGGGCCCGTCACTCTAGTTCGGTAATTTCAGTTACGCCTTTACTCGTCTATTTCTAATTGAAGAAGTCTATCAATCATTGACTAATGGGTTATAAATAGGGTAAGAAAATCACTTTCGCGAATTTTCTTGCATTTGTTGTACAGTTTCGCTATAATAAAAAGGCTAAACTGCACAATTTTATAGTATAGTGGATTTGTAAATCCGCTTATATATTTTTAGCTTGTTTTAAGTGCTAACGAAAGAAAGTCAAGGATTCCGCATATTCGGATTTATTGCCCTTAAACTAAAATACTGCTATTTTGGGGGTGTTATTTGGCCCGAATTTCTTTCGATACCAATAGAGAAGAGCCATATTTCTTGCTAAAATGGAAAGAACTAGAGATGTGCAACGATTCTAACAGGAATTGGAGTTGGAAATCAATTTGGTTAGAGAATGTCCTGTGGACATTCTTGCCTGTTAACACGTTGGAGTAGGAATCTACTGAAGCTCTGAGTGGAAGGTCAGCGTGCAATCGAATAAATGCCGACCGATAAACACTCAAAGATGCACCGAGATGGACCAGAAATGCTAAGTCTTTGTGATCGCATGTTCAAAGATCGATACCACGCGTGTTTATTTTCAATATGCATTATAAATGACGAATAAGGTTTAAATTGCAAACGAATCAGAACCATAGTTAAGCAAATACACTTACTCCTTAATCAATTTTCATTGAGGGAGGAAAAAATCACCTTTCCACAAACACTGCAATCCTCTGCGTGAGTACGTGAATTGATATTAAGCATTTCACGTCATCCCATCAAGCCTATAGAACACGTCTTACGTTCATATTAATCTGCGTGTCCGCTTCCTTCCACTTCTTTGGTAGCAATGTGTTTAGGGTCAAATAATGTGCTTGTAAAAGTTTACAAACAAACTTAGTGTACTCTAACTTTAATTTTACTCTGAAATATGTATGTTACGTACCTTCGAATTAACCACTTTTCT